TCTGTCTGTCTGTCTGTCTGTCTGTCTATCTATATACTGTATACATATACAGTACATACATATTGTTTTGACTCTCTGATGTTGCTTTTTGTGTTATTGTTTCACTGTTCTCTATAAATGATTAAGTTATTATGTAAAATATATACAAATTACTATATATATATATATGTATGTATGTATGTATGTATTTATTTATTTATTTATTTATTTGATATTACATTATAATTTAGGAATTAATAATAATATAATAATTTGATAGTTTTAATAATATTATTATGTTACTAATTATACTACCTATTTTAGTTGTGGTTTCACCATCAACTCTTCCTTTGCTCTGCTTTCTTTCAGACATTGAGGCAGTGGGTCTGAAGAAGGGAATGTTCTTCAATCCCGACCCGTATCTGAAAATCTGCATCCAGCCTGGAAAGCACAGCATCTTCCCTGTGCTGCCTCACCACGGTCAGGAGAAACGCTCAGGCATCATCTGCAACACGGTCAACCCCGTCTGGAAGAGAGAGGTGAGCTGCTCCTCACTCGTCTGTGACATGAGCGATCATTTAAAGGCATTCTGACCTTTGAGTTTGAGTCTGGAGCTGTCTTTGTGATATTTCACATCACGGCGAGTCTGTGTTTGATTGTGCTCAAGGCAGCTTTGAGCCAAACATGAAAGTAGAGTCCCTCAGGAGCTTTGACTCGCTGATGCTGCTTCTGCCAGCGGCCCTGAAAACAAAAGCATATGGAAATGAAGCTCTCTGATAACTTTATGACTTGAAGTTATGATTCAAACCCAAACTGTGAGGTATTTTATCCCAGCTTCTGTCTACAGCACATTTGGGAGAAACATAACCACACAAACAGAGCTGGCATCACCTCTACAATCTATACAGTGAAGCCTTTGATATCTGAAAATATGGCAAATATTTACAAGATTCATGGATATCAAAGAGTTTTCAAGTGTTTAATCAAGGCACTCAGACGAGCATTTTTAGATTTTTGAACATTTTTATTAATAATGCTTCACACTCACTCACAGTGTGTTGTATTGTAACCATTATAACTAAAGATATAACCATAATCATCCATTTCAACGTATAATGGAATCAGTTATGCAATCAGAAAAAATACAATCTACATTTAGCAGATGCTTTTATCCAAAGCAACTTAAAAATGAGGACAATAGAAGCAATCAAAACCAAAAAAAGAGCAATGATATGAAAATGCTGTGACAAGTCGCAGTTAGCCTTACGCAGTACACAAGGTTTTTTATATAATAAAAAAAAAAGAAAACAAGTAGATAGAATAGAAAACAAGAATAGAGAACTCTAGTGTTAGAGGGTATTTTCTTAAATAAAAATAAAACAAGTCAAAGGAATAGAAAAAGAATAGAGATTGCTAGTGTTAGAGGATCATTTTTTATAATAAATAAAAAGAAAACAAGTAGTTAGGATAGAAATAGAATAGAGAGTGCAAGTGTTAGAGGGTCAAGTGTTGTTGTATTTTTTTATAAATAAAAAATAAAACAAATAGATAAAATAGAGTTAGAATAGAGTGATAGAGTGCTAGAGTTAGAGGGTCAAATGAAGATGGAAGAGATGTGTTTTTAGCCATTTCTAAAATATAAATCTAAAAATTAAATACATAAATCACACAATAACTGTATTTTTATCATGTTGTTAAAGGGATAGTTTACCTAAAAATGGAAATGTACTTGCCCTCATGTCATTTCAAACCTGTATGAGTTTCTTTGTTCTGTTGATAACAAAATAAGATATTTTGAAGAATGTTAGGAACCAAACAGTTGACGGTACCCATTGACTTCCATATTAGGGAAAAAATTCCTATGGAAGTCAATGGCTACCGTCAGTTGTTCCCAACATTCTTCAAAATATTTTTTTTTCATTATTATTTTCAATAGAAAAAAGAAACTTTGAAGGTTTGAAATGACATGAAGGCTTGTAAACGATGACAGAATTTCCATTTTTGGTTGAACTGTACCTTTAACAGACTGACGCTGTGGTGAATGACATTGCTCTCTCAGTGAGAAAGCCACTAATAATCATTGAGTCTGTTCTTGCAGTGTCTTACAGACGGCTTCAGCGCGTGCACACACACACACACACACACACACACTCACTCAGACACACACACACACACACACACACTCACACACACACTCACACACACACACACACACACACACACTCACTCAGACACACACACACACACACACACACTCACACACACACTCACACACACACACACACACACACACACTCACTCAGACACACACACACACACACACACACTCACACACACACTCACACACACACACACACACACATGCCAAATGAATAATGAAACCTTAGAAAAAATATATATATATGAATTACCAATTCTCACTATTAACTAGTTGCTTATTAGCATGCCTATTCTACATCCCTAATCCTACCCAATACCTAAACTTAACAACTACCTTACTAACTATTAATAAGCAGCAAATTAGGAGTTTATTTAGGGAAAAATCATAGTTAATGGTTTGTTAATAGTGAGAATTGGACATTAAAATAAAGTGTGACTGGAATTACACTAAAACATACAATAAAAAAAATAAAAGGTAAGCAGTACTTAGTATGCACTATGCAGTGTGCTAATATTCTGAACATATTGGTAGCCTGACTCAGACGACAGTATTGTGAGTGAATGAACAGGCTTGTGCTGCACACTACACCTGATTTCTGTTGGACTGGGTTTCCTTATCTTCTGCTGCTGGTTTCAGAGAGCTGTTGTCTCAGTCTGTAGCGCGTGTGAAATACTCTTTCAAAGCCTGTCAACATCATGCCAACATGAAATATCAAACGTACAGTAGTAGTTATGCACAGATTTTTCATTTCACTGTGATGCCTTTCCATTGTTTTCTATGTAAACGTGCTTGATGGACACGCTTGACCATTGCACTTGCGTCTTGCGTCTTTTGCAGCGTCTTTTGAAATTTTATTAAAAAAATTAGGAGTTAAAAGAAGTTCAACTCGTGTTTCATAACCTTGCATTTTTCCTATTCCACTAACGCGTCTTGTGTTTCTCAATGCACAAACACATTCTGTGTGAGAAGCTGGTCTGGACTACAGATATGTCCTGTCATGCACTTTGATCAGTTTTTCTTTTAACTGTTATCATAATCGTATTGTCAATGTGACTAATTCTAATGTTTGCTAATATTTTTATTCAAAAATGCAATTCCTCAGTTTAAAGAAAGAAAGCAGGCTTGCTGCGACACGACTGAAGGGCTGTCATGCTATGGTGAGATGAACGCATGAAGAAGATGAAGATGAATTCAAATAGTCTTTAATAAATCCACACAAGGGTAAATCCAGAACAGAACAGGGAAGAGCACACGTAGGGACGTAGTAGACCGGACAAACACAGACTGCACAGACTAGGGCTTAAATACATGGGATGACGAGGACAATTAACAAGACACACCTGAACCAAATGACACAATCAAACATGAGGGAAAACTAGGTCAAGGAGCACATGAGGGATGAAAACACAACAAAAACAGTCCAGGGGTGTGACAAGGGCATTGCTCAGTTTTACACTGTTGCCTTATGTTTTATCACACTCATTCTGCATAATGTATTAAACATTCAGATCTCCTTTGCTCTAAGGTGAGCATTTTACAATGATTCATTTTTAACAGGCACAGTCTGTGTCTTTAATATATACTTGTGTGCCTGATAATCTTCCTCTGCATGTGTTTGTATTCGCTCCAGTCAGCATCAATCACAACTGAGATCAGGATCCACAGAATAATCTCTCGTGTTAATCACAGATAATCTGTGTCACTTTTCCTCAACTCTGTGATTATTCAGTGAGAAACTGTAAAGCAGGTAGAGCTGAGCAATAAAGTGTCACGCATGTGGATCTAATGGCAGCTTTTCTGTTATTAACCAAAGATAAAAACAAGCCAAAAAAACACGGGAGAAAAACAAACATAACAGAGGGCATTAAATGCAGAGCTAAACAGATAAGATATATGAAGTAGATATATGACACTAAGTATAGACAGCTAGATATAAAAAATATCAAAATATCACAATTTTGAAGCCATTACTGAAGTCCTTCTATTTTGCATTTTATTAATTTAAAAACTTTTTTTTTTTCATTTTGTCAGCATAACAATTGAAGTGAATATTCAGAAATTATTTATTTGTTTTTCTTTTGCTTTAATGACAGCAGCGCTCACTGATTTGTGTAAAACACATTTCAGCAGAAATTAATAACCCAGAAATAATGTAAAATATTACAAATCTTAAATATAATAAATATTAGATATGTAATACTTAAATATTTATAACTAATTTAACATGTTTTACATTTGTGTTTATTTACAGCTTTAAATTAGATATTAAATCCAATATTTTTTTTCTTCTGTATGTCTTGATACATTAATAAATATAGTAATAGTAATAGTATATATATGTGTGTGTGTGTGTGTGAGTGTGCATGTTTATGTGGTTTATGAGGACACAAATTTGTATAATAACATGGGTATGACATAGGTATTACAACGAGAAGGTGATTTATGAGGACATTTTCAGTGTCCCCGTAATTCAAAAGGCTTATAAATAATTCAGAATGAGTTTTTTTGAAAATCTAAAAATGCAGAAAGTTTCCTGTGAGGGGTAGGTTTAGGGGTAGGGTTGGTGTAGGACAATAGCACATACAGTTTGTACAGTATAAAAACCATTACGCCTATGGAGAGTCCCCATAAACCATAAAAACAAACCTGTGTGTGTGTGAGTGTGTGTGAGTGTGTGTGTTTTATGGAAGAATTGTAAAATGTGAAATGCCTCATGGGAAATCATCTACTTTTTTAAACAAATTGGAAATTAATTTCAATTCCCAAATCTTCCCAAGTGTTTTTTGCTGTTCAGGTTTAAATGTGAGACTTTGAGACAGCATCGCTTCTGATGAACTTGCAAGCTGTGAAACAAGGAGGAAACTGAGATCAGGAAACCGACGGACCAATTAAACATATTTATGACGCTGCTTAATTTCATATTACCAACAAAATCATTGCAAGCATCATGAATATGCAATACATCGCCCGACACATCTCGTCCAGATGTGACTAATAACTGCAGTGCAGTCGTTCGGCTCTTGATGAGTATAAAAATATGTTCGTATGAATCAGTCTGTTTGGCCAGATGATAATATTTGGCTTGCGCTGACCCAGATGTTGATATAGAGAAGTCTTTCCGCTGAGAGTGAACGTGAAATCTGCTGTTGGCCAGAGGACAGACCTAATTAATGGCTTTTGTGTTTGTTCTTATGTCCAAAGCCATTTCTGTCATCTCCACTAATGCTCCTTTTTCCTGTTGACAGTGTCTTTCTGGATCACAACTATGTTGAAACCCACCGTCACTGTGTCTCATTCACTAATAATCACACACGAGGTTTGAGTTTTGCCTGTGTACGTTATTCATATCCCTCAAGAAGGCTGAGAGCTGATTTTTATTCTGTGCAGACAGATGAATATCTGAACAAGCTCTTATTCTCTCTGATTTATTAATGTGTGTTTTACTGTCTGTTGCATTAACTCCTGCACTGATCCTCTTTGATTCAGAAAGAACATCTCTCTGATTCTAAACTGTAGCCAGACTGTAGGCAATGAAAAATTTGAATCTTGTAAAAATAATGCCTTGCCTTTACATACTGTAGTACTGAAAATACAGACTTGCAGTTACTGTATATTAGACATTATGATGGTAAAACTGTGGTATTTTGATATATACGTACACTGAATGACTACAATATGATTGTCCTGGTTTTTATATGACAGTATTTGAAGTTACACTATGGTAAATGTCTGAAAATATATCTATAATATATATATAAATATAATGTGCTACTGTATGCACATTAAAAATTTGATTAAAAATACAGTGAAAACAGTATTATTGTGAAATATTATTAGAATTTCAAATATCTGTTTTCTATAAGAATATATATTAAACTGTAATGTATTTCTGTGATGCGCAGCTGTATTTTCAGCATCATTACTCCAGTCTTCAGTGTCACATGATCTTCAGAAATCATTCTAATATGCTGATTTGCTGCTCAACAAACATTTCTGATTATTATCAATGTTGAAAACAGTTGTGCTGCACAATATTTTTGTGGAAACCGTGATACATTTTATTTTTCAGGATTCACAGATTAATAGAAAGTTCAAAAGAACAGCATTTATTTGAAATTGAAATCTTTTGCAACATTATACATGTCTTTACTGTCACGTTTGATCGATTTAATGAATCCTTAATGAATCCTTACTGAATAAAAGTATTAATTTCTTAAAAGAAAAAAAAACTTACTGACCACAAACAAACTGTGTGTGTGTGTGCGTGTGTGTGTATGTGTGTGTCTGTGTGTGTGTGAGTGTGTGTGAGTGTGTGTGTGTGTGTTTGTTTTGTTATTTGCATTCGATTAAATTCAAGTTAGATTCTGCATGTTCCAGTTTGAGTGTTTAAAGGGTCTTGTCATCCTATATTACTATAGTACTGTGGCCAAAAAACATAGTAATACCATGCTATTTTTGGTACTTTTTGTTAGTGCTGTAAGCAGCTGTAAATCTGTACCTTTACAGCATTAAATGTATCTCTGAAGAATACATCTCAAAGTATCCTCCCTCTGAAGCATGCAGCTGTTTGCAACTATTTTCTCTTAATTGTATGAATTATTGCTGCTACATTAATGCTGCACCAGCCTTTGGCACATAAACATGCAACCCCTGAACATCTAAATGAAATGCATTTGGACAGCAGTTCTGCTCTGCTTGTGTTTGTTGTCTTCTGCTCAGTTGTGGTCTGTCTGTAACTAGCGTAATGTGTTTCTGAGCTGTGTCTTTCCCGAGAACATTTGAGGACACACTGGATTTGGTTATGGGAGCAGGGAGGGGCTTTGGCTTAATGTCATTGTGATGGCAGAAGCCACTGAGTTTGGGCTTGTGGGGCGCTGATTGAAAAGCCGTCCTAAAAAGTCCTAGGTGCCTCCTTGAAAAAGAATCGTGATTCTATGTTTAACTGCCACAAGGAACAAAACAAGCCAGTCGTGTGCTTTCATGGACTCCGTCACCGCTGCAGCTGCATAGCAACCGCCCCGGGTACCCTAGCAACCACATAGCAACACCTTAGCAACCGCCCCAGGTACCCTAGCAACCACATAGCAACACCTTAGCAACCACCCCGGGTACCCAAGCAAATGCATAGCAACACCCTAGCAACCACCCCGAGTACCTTAGCAACCGCATAGCAACACCTAAGCAACCGCCCCGGGTACCCTAGCAACCGCATAGCAACACCCTAGCAACCACCCTGGGTAACATAGCAACCACATAGCAACACCCTAGCAACCACCCCGGGTACCTTACCAACCGCATAGCAACACCTAAGCAACCGCCCCGGGTACCCTAGCAACTGCATAGCAACACCCTAGCAACCACCCCGGGTACCATAGCAACCACATAGCAACACCTTAGCAACCACCCTGGCATTCTGATAAGCCAAGGGCTACAATAAAGCCAATAACAATAGCTAAATCAGTTAGTTTTTTTTACTATGAAATGAATTCATTTTTACAAGTATTTTACTTTTTTTAAGTTTAAAAAATAAAAATTGTTAATGAATTTCATCAGAATAAATTATTTTTTATATTCTGATAAGCCGTGTGGTACAATAAAGCCAATAACAATAGCTGAACGTATTTTAATTGTATTTTTAGTATTATTTTTTAAATTAGGAATTTAATATATTTTTACAAGTATTTGAAAAAAATCTGCTTTTTTATTTCTGATACGCCAAAGGGTATAATAAAGTCAATTTAAATTTTGATTAAAATTTTAAATAAAAAAATTATATTTGAATTATTTTTAAATTATGAATTTAATTAACATTTTACAATTATTTTACTTTAAAAAATATTTTCATCAAATAAATAATTTATATTCTGATAAGCCAATGAGTACAATAAAGCTAAAGACAATCTTCTATTTATTTATTTATTTTACTATGAATTAATTTTGTTAATTTTTATAAATCTAATAAATGATTAGCCATTTGGGAAGGTCAGGAATGAAGCTAAATATTAGTAACATACTGTATTTCCAGTCCATATGTTATGAACCATTTGATTCCCTTGAGGTAACAAACTTAATGAAATAGAATGAAAATCATGCAATACAAAGAGAGAAAAAAAACTGAATACCAACAGTTAACACCAATCTGTTTTTTGTTTTTTTTTGTATTCACAGCGATTTAACTTTGTGTCCCTGCCGACTGACGTTTTGGAGATTGAGGTTAAAGATAAATTTGCCAAGAGCAGACCCATCATCAAACGCTTCCTGGGAAAGTTAGTTGTGCCTGTACAGAGGCTGCTGGAGAAACATGCTATCGGGTAGGTCTCTGCTAATTCATTTAATCTGACTGGTAGTCTGCGGAGGACTGTGATTGCACTCTAATTCTTGACTCGTTTCTCAAATTACTGGTCCATCTGTGCATCGTTTTTACTGACAGGGTTTCAGTTTTCATAGGCCTAAATATATCTATTTATTTCTACTGTGAACAAGAAGGTACATTCATTTAAAAGATAGACTCATGCAGTGAGGTTTTTGATGTGCCATTCAATTTATTTTATAGTTAATTGCCTGTGGGATTTAACATGTCAAGCATCCTTGTCTCTCATGTGTGTAAACAGGGACCGTGTGGTGAGTTACACTTTAGGCCGACGGCTTCCAACAGATCATGTCAGCGGCCAGCTGCAGTTTCGTTTTGAGATAACCTCGTCAATGCATACTGACAGGGTTTCAGTTTTCATAGGCCTAAATATATCTATTTATTTCTACTGTGTACAAGAAGGTACATTCATTTAAAAGATAGACTCATGCAGTGAGGTTTTTGATGTGCCATTCAATTTATTTTAATGTGTCCTTTAGAATGTGTCGGTTTGGACCGACGTGAATAAATGATGACAGGTGACAGAGCAATTTCCTTAAAACAGGGAATTTCCAAAACAATCTTCTGGCCATTTAAGTATTTTGCGTTTTGCTGAATTGGTTGCAAGTTCATATGAATTTTCAGTGACACTTTAAATTAGGGGACACATATTCACTAAGAGTTTTCCCTAAATAAACTCCTAATTTGCTGCTTATTGATAGTAAGGTAATTGTTTGTATTAGTTATGTTTAGGTATGGGCTGGGGTAGAAAATGGTCATGCAGAATAAGGCATTAATATGTGTTTGTAGGGGTGGACCTTCATGCTTACTACTTTTTCTAAATATTGTATGTTTTTGTACAAATTCATACACCTCTTAAGAAATAGTTGCATTTTCCTGTGAGATTGGTTTGGGATTTCTAGACTGATTATTGCTAAAGGTATCTTGTGTTATTTCATAGCTGATCTGTTTAACCATATTGACAGATTTACTTATTCTCTCTGGTAGATGATGAGGAGGTGTCCCTCAATGCAATGCCAGTCTTTGATACAACACCTGAGCAGGAGCCCAATGGGGACCTACCACCAGCTTCTGATCTGCCTCTGGAAGACGCATTGAGTTTGGGACCTGACATTCTGGAGCCGCCTAACGAAAGTCCTCCAGAGGTAGAGACCCAAGATGCTGTGCTGCTCACCTCTCTAGATGAGCCCAGTAAGGATACCCAACCAGAAGCAGAAGGATCAGCTGATGAGCTTGTAACAGCTCGAGCAGAGACACTATTGAGCGATGCCACTCAAGGAGAAACTGCGGAGCAAGACCCTGGAAAAACAGAGTCCGAGGAGATGCAGGAGGAAACTGTGACTGAGACTCTTTTGGAGGTTCTGGAGAACCATGAAGCTGAAGACACGTGTGGACCAACTGGAATGGGACCTACTGGAGAGCATGCAGAGGTTGAGAGAGGCACAAGCTCAGAGCAGTTGGAAGGAGATGGGAATGAGGAAGAATCCTGTTCGCCAAGGATGCGGAGTGCCTTGAAGCGCAAGAGCCGACCCTGTTCGCTTCCGGTGTCTGAGTTAGAGACGGTCATCGCCTCGGCCTGTGATGAAGCAGAGACACCACGTTCTCACTACATCCGCATTCATCATCTGCTGCACAGCTTGCCATCAGCTCAGTGCCACAATGACAGCCAAGATGAAGACGAGGTACTTGACCGGGAATCTTCTGAGGAAGTCACTCTGAAACCCCAAGAGGACAAAGAGGAAGAAGACGAGGTGTCAGAAGCCCAGTCTCCATCCATCGTGCCCGAGTGTCCTAGACACAGGCGTACCCTACCACGTAGCCTCTCCATCGAGCGCCTGTCCGAACTCAACCAACTTTTGGAAGGTGAAATACCCTCACCTTCCACCCTCCGACTGGAAAGCGAACACATGGAAGTGGGTGGTGGAGGCGGATGCAGAAGGGAACTTCTAGAGAGTGAGTGCGAACTGTGTGATAACTCCTGCTACAGCACTTCCTGTTACAGCACGTCCTGTTACAGCACTTCCTGTTACAGTAACTCAGGTTATGAGGGGCGTAACCACCTTTGCAGCCACACGCGCCTCTCTTCAGTTGACAGCACCCGTCTGTCGGAGAGCACCGTTTTCTCCTCGCAGGAGGAAGAGGAGGAGGAGAACAGTGCTTTTGAGTCCGTCTCGGACTCAGTGCAGAGTCCAGATATAAGGGAGCCAGGAGACGGGTTGCTTCATTGGAGGGAGTCGTCATCGGAAGAAAGTCCCCAGAGAGAAGGGGAGGTGGAGATCTCACCAGTACCTGGGCCTAGTGTCAGGTCAACAGGTGAGGAGCCTTGTCCAAATTACGCATTGCGGAAAGGTCTTGGATGTTTGCTAAAACGTGTAGCTTGGAGCAGTTGCTCAAATGCACAGGGATTGTTGATGTTTCATTGTCAACGAAATTATTTGATTAATTTTATCTCATGTTAGCATCCCTTTAGTCCAGTGGTTGTCAAACTTTTTACAGTGGCATACTGGGGCATTTAACATTCTGAGTGTCAAACTCAGTTTCTGGAGGGCCGCAGCCCTGCAGAGTTTAGTTCCAACCCTGCTCCAACACGCAAACCATCTAGTTTTCAAATAAGCCTGAAGGACCTGATTAGATGGATCAGGTGTGTTTAATTAGGGTTGGAGCTAAACTCTGCAGGGCTGTGGTCCTCCAGAAACTGAGTTTGACACCACTGCTCTAGATCAACATTTGTTATCATTACGACACTTCAAAGATTTTACATACCCAAAGTTATCAAGACAGTTGCGAAAGGTAATCAGTGGAAGTGTGATGTGTCAGAACTCATAAGGATTACAGTGACAACTGTATATACAAGCAAAACATGAGGGCTCGTATCATAAAAGTTTAAAAACTCATAATCGCTTACTTTATGTCCTCCGTGTTTACCTCCATATGACGGCGCGCTGCACAAGTGTTGCCAAATCCACTGTTTCCCTGCAGAATTGGGCTACTTTTAGCCCCTGTTGCCGCGGGTTGTTTTTCAAATTCGTGGGTTGACGCGACCCCACTAGCGCAATATTTACCCCTCAGAACATGATTGGGCTAGTTTTGGACTAGTTTTGAGAAGCAATTGGGCAGATTTTGTTGTGAAAACCTGTAAAACCCTGTTTTGCGCATGCGGGTCAGTTCAGAACCATGACATGTTCAAACTGTAAATCTGATATTGGCTACATTTTAAACAACAATGTGAACAGCTATACAAAAAAATTGGATCTGAGCAAAAGTTGGAATTGAGCACGGTGCGTTTCCACTACAGCATCAAATCTGCGCTCAGTGCCGCTGGCAATGCTACAACGCCACTGCTTTGGAGTGTGTCAAATTTAGGGCAGAGCACGCCTCTGAAAAACACCCTGTTTACTTTTCATCTTCTTCCTTTCACAGTGATTGGTTGTCGCCTGGCGTTTATCGCTGTACATTTGCATAAAGTCGAGGAATGCCCAATCTTTTTGACGCTCTCAGCCGCTGTCAACGCTTTCTCTGCGCCGCAATCCCATAATACACCACGCGAGCGTTTAAGCTCAACTTCCATAGGAATGAATTGAAAAAGCTCACTCTGCTGCGCTCACTATGTGCCAGTGGAAACGCACCGTAAGGCTCGCAGTGTGAACGCAGCCCAAGGGTGGCCAATGTCGGTCCTGGAGAGCCACAGTCCTGCAGAGTTTAGCTCCAGATCGCCTCAACACACCTGCCTGGAAGTTTCTAGTATGCTTAGTAAGACCTTGATTAGCTTGTTCAGGTGTGTTTAATTGGGGTTGAAGCTAAAATCTGTAGGACAGTGGCCCTCCAGGAGCAGGACTGGACACTCCTGCGCTAATCCCAGTGAGCAGTTGAGTTCATAAGTTTAGTTACTTTCATGTTAGCTTGAGTTATGTTCAGAATGCTCTCCAGATTTAGGGCTGAACGGGAAAGTTATCAATGGGTCAGTCCTGTAACTAATGATGAATGCGCAGTGTGCAGAGAAGCTTGCTCATCGGTTCATATTGTTGAACAATTCGGCCGTGCTGCTATTTTGGATTCTGAAGTCAAGGTTGTTGCGTTTCCTCTGAGTTTCCGAGTCGGAACACTTTAGGGGTGTTCCAGTTAAAAGTTCCTACTGGGAACTCGGAATTTCCAACTTCTGAGTACAAATGAAACGCACCAAAAACTTAGCAGGATAGTGGGTCTCCAGGAGCAGGGTTAAAGACCTATGGCTTACTGCGTAGTGCGTACTGCACAATATAATGTAGTATGCTAGATGGTTGTCACAATTCCTCATTACATGACGTGGTTAATTGAAGAAATAGCTTCCAACTATGTCTTGTTAGTATCCCACTAATCCCAATGAGCAATTGGTTTCGGAAGTTCCGTTATATTATCATGTTAGCATCCAGCTTAATGAGCACTTAAGTTGTGTTTAGAATGGAATGCTGACATACTGCATACTGCACAGTATACACTGTATACTGCCTACTAGTTTTGTGAAACCATATACTGTATGAAAAGATAAACAGTTAAACGCTAACATCACTAGTATGCTAGATTTTTGTCACATGTCCTCATTACATGGCATGCATAATGCACATATTATTCTTTATTATAATTGTAATTATAGTTACCAAAGAAATGAAATTGCTATTTTTGTATGTTTAATCCAGTATTGTGTTAAATGTCTTATAAATTGACAGAAAGCGATGTTGAAAATTTAACTGTATGCAGTTGGTCATCTATGTGCATATTGACTGGTTATACACACTGCATACTACAGAAATGTAACTAGTAGTATGGTACTGGACATAGCAATTATTGAAACACTCTCATAACACTTTTTCAGCTAGCTTTCTATGGTTAAGTTCAGAGGTGTAAAGTATTGGAGTAAATGTAATTAGTTACTGTACTTGAGTATATTTTTGGATACTTTGTAGTTGTACTGAGTATCAAAGATATTAGCAACTTTTACTCTCTACTTCATTACATTTTTGAATGAGTATCTGTACTCTTTACTCCACTACATTTGAAATGAGTGTTGCAGTTACACATTACATTTTGCATGGACCTAGCTTTTTCTGCAGCAATTTATTTCTGCTACAAAAGACGTGATACTGCCTATTACAGGTCACTGAAAGTACTGCATCTTGTGCGTTTTGCCCTTACTCACCCAAACTTGTCAACAAGGCTACTTTATGTGAATGCGAGTTCCTTAGCAAGTATTTGGGAATCACAGGTGTTTTATATATGAGATGAGGACATGACTGCAGCCGGCAATGAGGCACAAACCAGCACAGCCAGTAGTAATGGTTGTCTGTTTGCCAGTCATTCTGTTCTTTGTTCCCTTTTTGGGTTTTTGGCTTATTGTTTGTTCTAGTTTTTCCACTAAATACCAGCACATAGATCCTTGCCTCTCCCTTTTTCCCCAGCTTCTCCACAACATTACAGATTTCACTGGCATGACTCTTTGACTAGTGCCTTTTTTGAGCCTATATTAAGTAAAATACTTGGTTTTAGAAAATAAACGTGATTGCTCTCCTCACAAATCTTCCTGTCTCCCGTGGTGTTTGTAGTCCGTTTGTTCATTGGTTCCCCTTGATTAGTCTCCCCAGGTGTGTCTTGTTATCTTGTTAAGCTTGTTAGCCCCCTGTTTGTATATAGCCCTAGTAATGGTTGTCTGTTTGCCAGTCATTCTGTTCTTTGTTTTTTGCTTTATTGTTTGTTCTAGTTTTTCCACTAAATACCAGCACATAGATCCTTGCCTCTCCCTTTTTCCCCAGCTTCTCCACAACATTACAGTTTTTCACTGGCATGTATCTTTGACTGGTGCATTTTTTTGAGCCTATATTTAGTATAAGTAAAATACTTAAGTACTGTTAAAATCAGATACTCTAAGACTTTTACTCAAGTTGTTTTGGAATTGGTGACTTGTAACGTGTAGTGGAGTAATTTTCACTGTAAGGTATCTGTACTTTTACTCAAGTATGGTTTTTAGGTACTCTTTACACCTCTGGTTAAGTTGTTGTAATGGGTTGTTTTTATACTTCATTAAAGCACAGGCAGAATTTGTCACATAACATCATCATTAAAAGAAAGCCACACCACGTATATTTGCTGCAGTGTTGCTTTCTAGTTTGCGCTGTGATGAGTTTGGCTGCCAATTACTGTTGAACATGATCTCTACCTGTTGAGAAGCGATAATGACTCTCTAATTAGTCTTTCACCTTCACTGCCCACATTTAATAGACAGTCACCAGAAAGGCTACCTGGTCCATGATATCTCAATGAATTTGTTTATGAGATATTACATATATAGGGCGAATTCAGGTAATTTGTGTAACATTTTGACAATTTTGGCCCTGAATTCAGCCTATATATTATTCATGCTGGTGGTTCTCAACTTGTTTTGCTTCAGAACCTAGATTTTAAACACAATAGAGTCCCAAAATTGTATATAAAAAAAAATAATAATAATATACATATATATATATATATACATTTATAATGCAGTGTGTGTGTGTGTGTGTGTGTGTGTATATTAGAAGTGTGTGTGTGTATGTTCATGGTTTGAACTGACACGAGATTCACCTGATCCCATGTTTATTAATGCTCACTCCCAGCATTGCATCTAATCTTCATCAAAGACAATGCATTCATACCATTGTCCATCTCAGTGACATTCCTCACCCTCTCCTTACCCGAAGTGTTGGCTATACAATAAAATGCAAACTGATACTAATTACAAATCCTCAATGAACCATCATTTATAGTTCATTAGTCAGAGAAAGCGGGTGTCAGGTCTTTGAATAATATCGGCATGTTGTTCACTCTCAACAGAAATGAACTCGGAAATTACTGTTTGGTATTAAAACCTGCTTGAATATGTCTTGGTGTTTAGTACACAATATCATGAGCTTATTTAGGCAATCGAGTAGGGCAAGAGCTTTCAAAAATATAAAGAACACAAGCTTTTTGGTGTCAGAATTGATCTGTACACTCTCCTCAAGAGGGATTTCCGGGGAACTCAAAGCACAATTGACATAAATGAGCTTGTCTCTCAAGAGATATGTGATGGTCTGATCTGATCTCTCAAGGGTTTCTTCACAGTTGCCATAGTGATATGGGCCACAAAGAGGCTGAGTATGCATACTGCGTTTTTATTTAAAGCTATCATTCAAAAGCAAGCAGCTACACTATGAATGTTACTTTCAAAGCCAGTAATTTTCAAATCCTAAAAAGCTTGAAAGTGAAGGAAAACTAAGCCATCAAGACATTTTTAATAAGAAAAATGCTTAGAATAATTAAATATAAAGTCATTTGCATGGCCATTTTTCAAACAAGGGTGGTCTGCAATGCGACCAATTGCAAAATAACATTGTGATTTATTAAAGTAATATTTTTATATTATATATTGTAATTTAATTTATATAATTTTTTACAAATATTTTAATGAAACAAAATATTTTATTGTATTTATTGCATTTTTAAAAATATTGTATTGCATTTTTTTATGTGCCACTGAAAGAAAAGTTCTCACCCCACCAGTTAAGAACCACTGATCTATGGCACAGACTGTCATAAGATTGCCATACTCCTCCTATTTTGCAGGTGTGGGTTCAGCTATGAGGTTTTGAGTTGTGTATTGATACTCACAATGCCACACACTGACTAAAACAGAAACACATTTAAAATATTAAGATGCACTCAAAAGCCTCTGACAGCATAAAATACTACAGAGAGCTTAAATGATATTGACATACAGTACGGTCAGCTCCAGAATGCTGGTATATTCTTGGAATGAATGATAAACGTGTTTTTACCTGACACACATTCTCTCTATGCTGAAATATGCAACAAACCCGTCCAGTTTCTCCAGTGGATAATGAAGATAAATTAATGGATCACAAGGGATTTGTAATGTAGATTGACATCTGTTGATTGATTTCTGTGCAAATCTGATATTTACAAGTGCAGTTATTAATGAGGTTTTGGCAAACGTCTGTCTGTGTTCAGAAAGAGGCAGAGAAACAGGCACGCGTCGCTCTCGCTGCACCACAGAGACTAATAAATCAAACCCCATTCCTCACAGAGAGCTCTAGTTTGCCAAGGCCTGAAGTATAACGATATCTTATTTATGTCCGTACAACACCCAAATGCGTGTGTGAGTCTGTGTGTGTGTGTGTGTGTGTGTGTGTGTGTGTGTGAGTGTGAGCGTGACACATAAATTTACATAATTTGTAAATGACAAATTATTATATTACAAAAAATATTACAAATTATGTTGTTTCAAACATTATCATAGTTTGTCAACAAATGTACCATTTATTGTGTATGATAACATGTTTATGATTCATTCTTAATGAAAAATGAAACATTATTACTCCAGTTACTGCATCTTGTTTGCAAACATCAATTCAAATTATGTTCAAATTGTTAAAAGCTCTATGCATTGCTTCTTAGATATGTATGATATATTCACAACCTTTGATTTATTGAATCGTCTCTACTCAGTCTGATGGTATGTGTTTATATGTTTCCTATATATAAGCTGATGTGCTTCTTTCTAACTGGCACAGACTGGGAGGCCCGGATAGACAGTCACGGCCGTGTTTTCTACGTGGATCATGTGAACCGCACCACCACGTGGCAGAGGCCCAGCCATGCAGCCAAATGCAGCGGCATCCGGAGATCCGGCTCCACTCACCAGATGGAGCAGCTCAACCGGAGGTACAGCAGGATCAGTCCTCACACGCTCCCTCATAAACTCATTTACTATAGTATCACTATATGTGACCCTGGAGCACAAAATCAGTCATGAGTAGCACGGGTATATTTGTAGCAATAGCCAACAATACATTGTATGGGTCACAATTATTGATTTTTCTTTTATGCCAAAAATAATTAGGATATTAAGTAAAGATCATGTTCCATAAAGATATTTTGT